TTATCCCAGGGAAAACCCTCGCGAGCGCAGGGAATAACCCCCTGGCGCTGCCACCCTGGCAGCGGGTGCTCTGCACCCGTGGGGACACGGTGACACCAACGCGGGCGCTCGGGACCCTCGGGGACAAGGAGCTGCGAGGGGCTGGGGGCACCAAACAACAGGGTCTGCAGCTGCCCCAAGCCTGGGGGGGAAATCTTTTGCACCGGCCRCCCTTGATGCCAGCGCGTGATGAGGGAAGCGGCAGCAATCTGGAGCAGATGATGCCAGCAGGGAAGGAGGTCGGAGCATCCGGCTCCGGCGGCAAATCGCTCACCTGCACCCCGGGCACGGCACCCCAAGGAGCCCACGGCTCGCCCAGCCTGCCCACGGCCCCTCAGGCCTCGTGGGCACCGTGCCCAGCCTGCCATTCCCGCTGGGCATTCCCGCGGCTCCCCCGCTGCCGCGAGCCGGTGATTCCATCTAGCGGCGGCGGGAGCAATGGCACCGCGACACGGAGCGGGGCCTGGGCGGCACCGCGTGCCCACCCTGGCCCTGGCAGCCCCTCAGCGCCGAGCGGTTCCTGCTCCAAAGCGCTCCGTGCATCCCTGCAGGCATCRCTTTTCCAACACAGGCACCTGGGCATTGCAGCTTTGCTGGGCACAAGCTGGCGGATACAGTCCCAGGTATCAAGGAAGTTGGGAGCATCCCGCCTCTCTCCGCTCATTCCTTCCATGCCACGCTTCCATGCTGCTCATGGCACCTTGTCCAACCTGTTCCATAGGGACGATCCATGCTGGCTCCAGGAGCACGGAGCACTGCCGGGCACCCGGAATGCTGCAGCAGGGCTGGATTCCCTCCTGGAAATGCGGGATGCCTCCGGCCTCTCCATTGGTTGCGTGTTGCAGCAGCGGGTTTGCTCCCATGCTCTGCCGGCTCCCGAATCCAGGAGATCCGGGCCGGAGAGGCGGCACGGAGCGGGAGATGGATGGGCCCTACGCGGCGCTACAGGTGCCACGCTGCGCTAATGCAATTAGGGCGCCGTGGCTTCCGCTTCGTTAATCGTGTTTGGCTCCATCGACGTTCCCGGCTCTGCTTTCCCATCCCGAACTCATCAATCGGTCCGTGACCTTTGCCAAGGCTTGCATCATCCTGCATCCCGCGCCCACGGCGCGGGGCGGGCAGCGGGAGGCTGGGGGCACCCCGGGCACCCTGTCCACCTGCTCCCGGGAATGCCCATTCCCAGGTGTGCTCCAATGGCTCCAATCCCGTCATYCCGTTGGCCTGGTCGGATCTGATCTGATAGCAGGTCCCAGCTTGGAGATGCCACATCCGAGCAAACGGGCGGACGGCAGCRTGGCACTGTGTCCAAGCACACAGACCCGCCTCTTATTAGCCACCAGAGAATCCACACAGGATTCCCTATAGCACCTAGGACTTCCCTATGGCACTATAGGCTTTCCCTACAGGCATGGATGATTTCCTCGATGAGGGAATGCCGGGAGCACACGGCTGCTCCAGCAGCCGGAGCGCCGGGAGCGTCACCCGGGAAGAGCCCAGGCCCCCCGGGCGGGAAGAGCTGAGCGCTTCCCAGCGCTCCCAACGGCCCTGCTTCCCCCCTCGTCTGCTCCCCCTCGTTTGCTCCTGTTTTAATTAAACCCCCGCAGCGCATCCTGCCGGCTCCGAGGAAAACAGAGCCACAGGCGACGGGAGCAGGGAAAAGGCTGGAGCGGCGCGCGCGGCGCCTGGAGCCGTCCGCGAGTCCTGGCTCGTGTAGGGCTGCAGCCCCAGCGGGTCCGGCTTGTGATGGGTCTCAGCCCTGGCAGGTCCCAACTTGTGTGGGGTCTCAGGCCCAGCAGGTACCATCTTGTGTCAGGTCTCAGCCCTGGCAGGTCCTAACTTGTGTCAGGTCTCAGCCCTGGCAGGTCCCAACTCATGACAGGTCTCAGCTCTGGCAGGTCCCGGCTTGTATCAGGTCTCAGGCCCAGCAGATACCACCTTGTGTTGGGTCTCAGCGCTGGCAAGTCCCAGCTCACAGCAAGTCTTAGATCTTGTGGTGTCCCAAGTTGTGTGGGGTCTCAGCCCCAGAAGGTACCGTGTTGTGTCGGGTCTCAGCCCTGGCAGGTCCCAACTTGCGACAGGTCTCAGTCCCAGCAGGTCCCAGCTCATGCAGGGTCT